TGATCAGTGCAGAAAGATGGAAGCTTTTTATGATTATCTTTCTTACTTGGATCCTACAGTGACTTTTTTCCAGTAATTTGAGAACTTTAGTCCCATCAGTTCAAACAAATATGTCATATTTGATGAATGAGGAAAGACTAGCTCATTGTAGCATCATGTTTGATACCACAACAAACGTTTAGTTGGAAAGATAATGAACTGAACTGTGTTAAAGAAAGGAGTATAAGTTCTACAGAATTATTTAATTTAGTGTTAGTTATTTCATTTGATTGAACGTGCAGATGTAGCATATTTAATTAAAAGTGGTTCCTGCAAATTGTGGTCAGATTTTGTTCAAATTCCTAAATATTCCAATTATGATACTAAACTTTACACCATCTGGTATGCTTCTTTCTTCTGAAACAGATATATTCCCTTTTAAACTTTGTCATATTGTCATGGTTAGAAGTAAATTGTAGCAGAAACTTCAAAATGCCAGATTTTCTGGAGTAGTTGCTCCTAAAGACTATAAAGGCTCCTAAAGAAAACCCCTCTCTATTTTGTCAGATACGAATTCTTTGCTGACTATGTAATCAACCTACCAACACGAGAAGGACGTGCTTTTAATGTAAATTTCCAATGCAAAGTAAAATCATTGTAGGTTGTTTATGATCAGGTAAGCTTAGTTTTTATTCTGGGTCAGATTTTGAAGTGTAGATAACAATCTTACACACTGCAATAACTAAAACACAGATAGCTGGGTACTACCCAAAGAATTCAGAGTTCCTCGGAGAGGGATCTAATAAGACTGAGTGAAATGAGGTCCTGCAGAGGTTTAAGTTCCTGTACGGGAGAAACATGTATTTCTAAATAGTGCCCAGGTTAGCAAAAAAAAACCCACCAAAAACCAAAACAAAACCCAACCCTCCCAACCACCCCCATGCCCAATCCCCCAAGATTTCTCTACTGAAGATGGATTCTGAAATTGGTAGTGGTGCAGGAACAAGGAAATACCATTTTCTGAAAACAGATTGTTCCTTGAATGACAGCTTGAAGGGCTATGACAGTTGATTAGGAAGTAAAGGATTTTATTTTTTTTATGTTGAAGATGATTAAATTTACATTTCCTACTTTTAAGATCAAACTATAACTGCAAAGCTATTAAGCACGTTTCTGTTTGAAGCACAGTCATTGTGCAACCTGGAACAGAAGTATGCTGTCAAAAACTGGGCAAGTAAGAGTGAACTTTGCAATATTACATACTGATTTGGCAAATCATCATGAGGCACAGTTCTGGGTTTTTGTCCTTCTTTGCTGGATTATATATTTTTTTTAATCCTTCAAGTATTTAATAAAACATGAATAAAAACTAATCCTGTATTTGCAAACATAATATAATTAAAGATACATATTCCTCATTTTGGACTTTACCTGTTAAATACAGTCACACGTGTTTTCCTGAAAAATTACCCCACGTGAAATGGGTATATAAATTATGTAACTGTTATAATAAAAAAAAATTAACTATAAGTTCCAGTAATTTTAGTTCTTCGGTAAACTACTTGGTATAAACCTGACTTTTTGCGCTGAAGGGTCTCATAGTCTCAATCATTTGCTTTTGCCAACGCAGCTTGCATTTT